ACCAGAGGAGTCGCCCCCTGGTGGACACTAGAGAGAATGCAAGTTGCAAGTTTTATGACACTTCCGCATTGACTTCACTCGGCAGAACCGGAGGTTGCCATCTGGTTCTAAGGTGTAAAATCAAAAAAAAAACAATATCCTGCCTATTCCTCAGCAGGATATTGTTTCTAACAGGTCACTGAGACGTCTGAATATTTCGTATAACAAAACTCCCAATCAATGTTTTCTTTTGTCTTCATCTCCTTATGTTGTAAAATGACTCTAAGCAGAAACTCCACTTCGTCGTCCGTCCACATGTGAATCAAATATAGTATTCGTCATCGCACCAAATATCAAACTTGTATAATATAGAAATAATTAGCTATTTATTTACTATTGTTTGCTATTTGTTGACACCGACGAAGAAGAATCAGCTCACTGAGCGTGCTCAGAATCTTCCTCTCTGGTATTTGAAGTATCGTTGACGTAGCCTTTATCGCCACGTACTGGCCCGGAGTCGTTTTTATTTATTTATTTTGTAAAAAGAAAAGTGGCAAGGACAAAATTTTATTTTAAAACATAGGGGAAAATATCTGGACATTTGCCTCGGAGCTAATCTCACATCCTTTTTCTCATGCCCGACCTTCATCACCATTTGAAATGTGTGGTCCCAGGGCTCCTTATGGGAAGGCCGTGGACATGTGGTCGGTGGGCTGCATCTTAGGGGAGCTGAGCGACGGGCAGCCTCTGTTCCCGGGAGAGAGCGAGATTGACCAGCTCTTCACCATCCAGAAGGTGTTGGGACCCCTGCCGCCAGAGCAGATGAAGCTCTTCTACAACAACCCTCGCTTCCACGGGCTGCGGGTAAACGCCTCTATTTACCCACAAAACCTCTCACTACTGACCCTCACCGCCTTCCATGTCTTTCTTCTTCCCTCATTCATTTTCTGTCTCTTGCTTGTTTTTTTTTCTTCTTCTCCTGGCTGAGTTTTGCTTTGCCGTGACTGATTGGATCACAGTGACTCATGCTGTATCATGCATCCTGTACGCTCTGTGAGGTGGTGGGGGGGGGGGCTGTGATAAGGTGGTACAAACAGACCTGGGTCGTACTTCCCCTTCGCCTCCCTGCCCATGCCTCAGGATAGATTAGTTTTGTAAACTGCCCCTCTGTGAATACCTGACAGTGAATACCCACTAATGAGGCCCTCTGTTTGATAATGCTGCATTTTTTAAAGTTGGGACACTAATGGGGATAAACATTGCTATTGGATTTTACGAATTTTGTATTTGTTAATGTCTGGAGGTGCTCTTTAAGAATACATTTAAGGGTTTCCTTCAACTTAGTTAAAGTTCAACTTCATAAACTTCTATACAATCTGACTTCTTTTTGCAACCAGAGGAGTCGCCCCCTGCTGGCCAGTAGAGAGAATGCAAGTTTTGCAACATGTGAACAGGCCCCATGTACAGTATATATGGCACTAAAAGAGGTGAATGAAGAGGAACCTTCATCTGTTTCTCTAGGTGTTTTTTAATGGGAATGTGGATCTTTCGGATCAATGTGAGGAGTGATTATGGTCTGGTCTTTGGTCTCGATACACTCCGGTCCCGGTCTTGGTTATAGCTAGTCGTGACTACAAAACTGCAACGGTCAGTGAAATTGTGTGAGTCAGTGATCGGTGGTTCAGATGGAGGAGAAGCAGCGTCTACAGGGTGACGTTCAAGAAGACAAAGACACAATAACACAGACCACAACAGTAGTGATGCTATCATGCAAAGTCACACAAGACATATTATCAGTGTGGCCGAGCAGCATACCAGAACACAACAACAAATAAAACAGGTAATACATGTGAAATAAAACCAGATATTTTTGTACAAAGAAACCTTTTTCAACTTGCTGATTATTGATGACAATTGTTGAGGCTCCCTCTTTCTCTTGTGACGATCAATAACTAACCCATTAAGTAATATTTAAGTTCCCTTTCAATGAAGACTAGTTAATTACTCCTGTCCTCTACACACGAAGCGCAGTTGGCTGATATTGCTGGTCTTTTCACAAAGCATTATTGCATTATTCGGTCATTTATCACTTGGACATTTGCTGTTGTTGCCACAGTTTTTTTTCATTTATTTTTTTGCTGAACTATGATCCACTGTTTCTTGTTTTAGTTCCCTGCTGTGAATCACCCCCAAACGTTGGAGCGGAGATACCTGGGGATCATCGGCGGAGCCCTGCTGGACCTGCTGAAGGTCGGGAATCTGCAGAGATTTTTATTTCTGCCTCTTATCTTAAATCTTAAACATCTAGATATCTGATACTTTTGCATCATTATTACAGTGTTTTTTTATTAATATTATTACGTCGTGACTGCTTCGGCATCTCTCAGCTCGCATCCCGGCTCCGGCTGATGCTGTTATTGCTGCGCCTGCACTGTAAACAGGAGCTCCATGTCAAGAATGTGGGCTGTGCTTGTGCACTTGCGCTTTTTTCCCCCAGCAGATAGAATGACTCACCGCAAACATAATGTCATCTCAGGGCTGACTGCAGCGAGGACAGGCTTCTCTCTCTCTCTCGCTTCTCATCAGGGCCTTCTTCAGTTGAGCTTACATATTGATTTGAAAGAATATATGTTTTCTGATTGCTAATGCAAAGCTGTTTTAGTTCCTGTTGTTGTCCTGAGAAACAGAGAAAAGTAGCTGCCACTATAAATATGAGTTTAAACGAACTCAAGAGTTCACAAGCTGTCTTTTAATTTCAGTGCATTAATGCAGGATTCAACAAAACAACCAACAGTTAGGTTTAGACAACAAAACCAACAGTTAGGTTTAGACAACAAAACCAACAGTTAGGTTTAGGCAACAAAACCAACAGTTAGGT